AAACCCTTTTTTTTTTTTTTTTTTTTTTTAATTATCGGCCACGTTCGACCGCGGTCGGGGGGGCCCCGGCCTAGGCCGGCGGCCTCGGCCGTGGCCGAACCAGGCCGCGGCCTACGTGCAACATAGCCTCAGGTAAGTTTAAAGGCGTTTGAATTGTGTGAAGTTGTGAACTTTGGTTTTCCAGTCCCGCTAGTTGACAGCAAGATCATGGAAAGCTTTTTTTAGTTTTTTTTAAAAAGATATATTTGTATATAATACTACATGTTTAGATTGTCAAGGGATGGAAAAGTATAAAGCAAAGATGGAATGAAGTTCCACAGAGACAGAGAGGGAGAGCGAGAGGTGCACATGTGCGCGCGCGAGCTCGAGCGAGCGAGCGAGCGAGAGAGAGAGAGAGAGAGAGAGAGAGAGAGAGAGAGAGAGAGAGAGAGAGAGAGAGGAAAATAAATGGCGGTGGTAGCTCAGGAAACAGGGTCCGCGGCAAGCCATTTGCCACTACCAAGTTCCCTCAAAACAATAACTAGGAGATCATAATTGCCGGTCTCGATGGCGTGAGATTGTTGAACATAAAACCTATAACTCCTATAACTCCAATCCGCAAGTGCTTATGTTCAGAATAACTCGGAAGCAAAATTGCATCCAAAAGTACCCGTGGTGATCAGTGAATCATCCTAGTTTATCCGATTCATTACGCATCAGGATAATCTATAAAGGACGCAGTGCGCAATAGTTAACACACACGTAACACAAGTTGGACGGAACTTGGCATTCCATCGGGCTATCATGAACTACTTTCTCGAGACGGAATGCCAAGTTTCCAGAGCAGAGAACACAGTGTGCCATCATGAACTACTTTCTGGAGACGGGGAATCATCGGAGCTGAATTGATCGCTAGAAATCCTGGACCATCAGTCCCGCAACATCCTTGCTCTCTGTTTCGGAATGATTAAACCACCAGTACTTCCTAAAGTCGTGCCCGTTAACGCTACACGATTCTAGGAAACGTACGGGTCACTACAGGAGCGCCCAAATTCATCCAACTAGAAACGTTTCTACTCTTTTTTTTTTCCGCGGCCGATAGCTGGGCCAAGTACTGGTGGTTTAACCCCTGTAACCTGTCATTCCGGGGGAATGATAAGAGAGCACCCCTCTGGAGGACGGTGGGTTGTCGAAAGCTCAGTTCTATTTGACGGGAGCAGCAGGTGCCGTATTGACTGCGCTGCTCTGATAAAATGGAATGGATATGTGTTTTTGTTGTGTGCGGACGCTGGACGCAATTTCCATCCAGCACGGGCTGCTCCCATCGAATAGAGCGGGGCTTCCCACAAGCCGCCTTCCTCCGGAGGGGTGCTCTTATCACGCCCACGGAAGAAGCTGAATGTGCTGGGTATATTCGGTACCCATTCCTCGCTGTGCACATTCGAAGATAAATGTGCTGGGTATATTCGAAGATAAATGTGCTGTGTATGTTCGAAGCGAAATGTATTGCATAATTTCCCAAGGGCAAATTCTTTTTGAAATGGATGGTGTTAGTTTGTCAAATGCTGCAGCTGCTACTTCAGCTTCACATGAAAAGGGTGTTTGTCCACCTTTTTGGTGGGGGGGGGGTGTTTGTCTACCAATTCTTTTGTCATAAACAGAATTGCAAGGAAAACGAGTGAGAACGATAGACAGAAAGCCAAGTTGCAAAATTACACAGATGTCCAAGTATTCATGTACCAAGCAGAGAGCATAAATGCGCCAAGATTCCATCCACATAAGAGCGTTACAATGAACTCGTGAGCCAATGTTCAAGCCCTCAGGCCACATCAACGCAGTATCCAATGTCGCTCTTACTGTATGGCGCCCAGCGCCCTATGTACTCCTACCTAGCCTACATTACTACAGCCGCATTCACGCAACAGGCTTGATCCGCCTTTGAAGACCAATGTACATGACGTCAACACCATAGCCGACCTGCCTCATGCACCAGGTAGCCCCTCGTCACTTCCCTGACCACCCACACTCGCCTCCTTCCCTGAAGACCACCGATCGCCCCTTGCCCCCTTGCGCCCTGCAGCCCGGCTATGGCCGCTCGGGCACTGCTGCCCAGCAGCGCCTCTCTCACCTCCATGCGCCCGCATGCGCCCTGGCCGCTAACACAGCAGTGTGACCGCATTGCCTGCGTGGGCCAGAATGCCAGACCCTGACTGCTCTTCCTCTACATGGACATGGAGTGTCTATCTGGCTGCTTGTGGCCTTGGCTGGAAAGCTTCCAGTAGCTTCCGGTCGGGCCCAAGTGCCTGCGCCCCTTTTTCGGTTGGGCACGCCCAGGATTTCCAGACTTGGGCCGTTTGCTGCATTTGCACAGGACCCGGGTATGTACGTCGACAATGCTGGTTTTTCCCTAGGCCCGTAGCCACTTCGTGATGTATCTGCCTTGCATTGTTGTGTGTGTGTCCAGGCCTGGGCCCAACTGTACGGCACAACACAGGGAGGCTCATGTTTCCTTTCAACCAACTGGCGTGCTGCTTGCCTGAGTACCCACTTATGGAAAATGTCGAATTTTGGTGTCTTGTGAATATTCAGGCCCGCCTTCACTTAGGGCGGGCAGTGGGCTAGCTGTGGGCCTCTGGCCAGAATATGTGCATGTCTGATAAGGGCCCTGCAAGGGCTCATTGCTTGCATTCCATCCCCCTTACGTTCGAAAGTCCGCTGGGATGCTTCATGCTGGTACCTTCCCCTTCAGTCTTCGTTTGTATCCGGCCATGATCTGAGGGTTCGTCTTGACCAGTTCCTCCCTTGTGAACCAGCGATCTTCTTTAGGATCCGTAGGATGCCTGAACCACACCCGGTACATTCGCATAGGTTTATGCGGTCTTCCCCTGCCAGCTGGCTTGAGAACAGGCATGTCTCTGTGTTCTAGGATATCATCGACGTCCACGCGACCATCCATTGTTGGGGGTAGCATTGATCTCCTTGATGGGAATTGCTGTGCCTCAGCGAAAGGTGCAAGCTTGGAGGCATGAAAAACAGGGTAAGTGCGTAGGTGACCAGGGATTCGAATTACGTATGATGGACCATCTTCTTCATTACCCACAATGTTTATACAGAGGCATTATTTTCCTAGAGATGCTGGACTCCTGTCCCAACTCACTACCTTCTTTCCCCCAGTACGACGTGCGGTCATTATAGCTGTATTTGAGGCATCTTTCAGTCTAGATTCAACTATAATGACCCTACGTTGTATTCGGAGGAAGAAGGTAGCCTTAGCCCAAACACGTTCCCCTACGTGAAAGGTGGACTGTCGGTGATGCTTGTTGCTTCTTGAGATTT